AAGTCACACTCCCTCAGCTTCAGAGGATGGCCATGGCAAATCCCCTCTGAAGAAACTTGCCAAGAAAACACTGTGATAGGTTTGCCATAGGGTTGACGTAAGTCAGAAATGACTTGAAGGCACACAATAACAAACAACAACAGAACAAATCAAGCTTGAACTCTCCCTAGAAGCAGTGATGACTAAACTGAGGGTGTCCTATTTTGGACATATCATGAGAAGACAGGACTCATTGGGAAAAGACAATGATGCTTGCTAAGGTGGAAGGCAATAGGAGAAAAGGTAGATTGTATTACAGGTGGATAGACTCCATCAAGGAAGCCATGGCTACCCTAAGTGTGCAAGACCTCAGAAAGTTCCTGTTGATAGACCAGAGGTCTATCATAGTGTAGTTGAAGTTGACTTGATGTGTAAGAATGAAAGGCAATTTTAAACTATGTGGAAGGAAGGAAGGAAGGAAGGAAGGAAGGAAGGAAGGAAGGAAGGAAGGAAGGAAGGAAGGAAGAAGCAGCACAAAATTATCCACTAATGCTACCAGATAAGTCCCAGCCAACCTTGAAACAACTGTATATGTGCAAGCAAAGGAATCTGCATGATGGTTTCATTTTCCTATGGTGCTTTGTCCAGAATTGCCTGACTGTATCCACATATTGCTGTCTGCTTTGTCCAGAAGGCTGTTACATTCCCCCCCAAGCACTAGTGCTAAAATATTATTCCAATTGTGGTGAATTGGCTGGAAAATTGCCTCCTGCCTGCTCCTGTTTTCCAATTAGGAGATAAAGCTGAAAGCAGGAATTAGTAGAAGGCAGATTTGGATCACAACTCAGAATGCTATTCTGAAATCTCTTCTCTCTCTATCCCATCTTTTTCCATGTATCCATTTGTTTCCTTTTTCCACAGATGTGAAATGAGGATTTTATGGCATTTTTCTATGTAAAAGAAATGAATGGTATTGATATTTAATAGTACTGAGAATATGGGAAGGCTGCTTATGAACAGATCTCATTCCAGTAGTATAGCAGAGCATGGGCAGGCAGTGTTGGAATGGTACATTTTTAATAATAATAATAATAATAATAATAATAATAATAATAATATATTTTATTTCTTTCCTGCCTCTCCCCACAGCTCAAAGCAGGGCATAACATAGATTGAAACACATAAAATAATTTCAACACTGTTAAAACACACAATCATAAGAAAAATTAAAATCACCCAGCATAAATTGAAATATCCTGATTTAAAATTCCATTTAAAATCAACTGGGTAGGCCTTTCAGTTTTTATTGGGTTTTCTTGTTCCCTGTCAGTTTAGTTACAATCCTTGTCGAGATGACAAATTCTAGTGGATTAATTATCCATCAATAGTCAGAGTAGATGATATGCTGTTTTAGAATAAATGTTCCTTCAAGTGATGAAAGATGTCTGTCTCTAAAAGCACACGATTTTCCTCACCAACCTATCTGTCATTTAGTGTGCTTTATTTTCTGACTGGTCATGGCAGGTAAACATGGGCTTAATTTGCAAGGTGTTCTGTTTTTGTTTTGTTTGCAAAAGCAAGCCTCTCTGAGGAAATCACTTTATGGGAGAGGAAACAGGTTAACCATTGGGGAAAGCATGGTGCAAGGAAATACTGGATAAAAGTCCTTATGTCAGTGTCACCACCAATCATGGCTTCCTAAGTCACCAAGAAGATTCTACTTATTCTTAGCATTTTTTGCAGCAAAGATATATATGTCACATCTTGGTCAATCCTATGCTACAGCATGTAGATATTACATGATCAAATGATATGTAAAATGGCATGGAGTTTCCCATTTATCTCATCATTCATTTCATCACTCATTCCCATGCCTCAGATCTCTTCTATCAGGGGTAGGCAACCTTTCCCCTTTAAGGGCCGAGGGACTTCAGCTTCCAGAAGCCTCAGCCATGTTGGCCTATAATAGTCCCATGTTGGCCAATAGCTCCTGGGATTCTAGGAGCTGAAGTCCCTTGGCCCTTAAAGGCGAAAGGTTGCCTACCCCTGTCTTCTATCATTGGGGTGGGCCTTAATTTTATTAGAATTTCTGCTGCTCAAGCGACCACCACTGGCTGCTGACCTCTCTATCTTCTTTTTCTTGTTCTTCTTGTTTTTGTTCTTGCTCTTTTTCTTATTCTTATTCTTATTATAAAAAAGGATCAGATAGTAGTGACTGGGAAAGACTACTTCTCACGATCCTGGATTACTACTGCCAGCCAGAGCAGATAGGTTAGGCTAGACTGCTATACAGAACTAAAGACACCTGATCTTATCTGATTTCAGAAGCTAAGTGGGATGGGACCTGGTTAGCACCTAGATGGGAGACCACCAGGAATCACAAGGGATTCCCAGGGCAAAATGAAGAGAGACTTCTGAAAAGATGTTGCTGACATTCGCTACACTTGATCTTAGCCTGAAGATTGAGAAGCTACCAGTCAGGGATGACAACACTAAGTTATGTAGTCCAAGGATGTGACTCTGGATAAAGGGGCCTCCTATGTTCCCAGACAGACAAATTGCATGACCTAGCAATGGGTTGATTTGAAAGTGTGCCAACCTCTTTTGCCTTTCTGACGTAAATAGAGGACAAAGCGGCATGGGCGATATCCAGAAACATCCTTCTTAATCTGAATCATCTGCATTTTGTCTAGATGTTTATTTTGTTAGGATTTTAGTCGGTTGATCCAGGCTTTGCTCTCATCCTCATTCCATTTTGTTATGGCCGATGGGCAAACCAATATAGTTAACTTTATTACAGTATAAGCAAAGGCTGACACCATCTTGAGAATAGAATTAGAAACAGGGATGCACTCATTCTGTTTCTCCCTCCCCAGTCATATTTCCACCTCTTTTATTGTTCCATCATTTGTATTCTCTTCTGTGTTTCACTGTCCTCAGTTTTGTTGAATGAAGAGGGGGGAAACCTAAAATATTTTCAGAAATGAAGCATTACATATGTGTTTATTAAATGCATATACCACATATACCAACTTAAGGGATGACTGGACTTCTCCCACACTTTAACCTCACAACAACCCAGTGAGATAAGACAGGCTGAGAGAGTGAGAATCATCCAACATAATAATCCAAATGGCATATTTAATGCATGTGTCAAACTGCATTATTTCTACAATGTAAGATGTACCTCTACACAGGCAGTTGCTCATTCCTGGCTCATTATTTTGTCCAAGACCTTGGATCAAGCAGATGGATTCCACCTTGGATGGCAGTCATCATCATCATCATCATCATCATCATCATCATCATCTATTTATTTGTTTATTTGTAAACATTGTTCACTCTTAATTATATCTAGGTGAATTGCTAAAATATAAAATTACCCAGTTTTGTTCCTTAATGCTTTGGGGATTTCCAGAGAAATACTATCTGATTCTCAAATACCATCACCAAGAGGAATGATTGTAAATTACGGTTGGGCTTTAATTAGTAGAAACTGGGTTTATGAACCTCTCACGGGGGGAATGATGGATGTGCAAAGCTGTGTTCCCTTTCTACAAAAGAGTGCAAACAAGGCCTTTGTGAGTGAGGCACAATTAAATGCGGAAACAGTTTTACTGCCCTTGTGTGCTGAGCAACAATGAGCCTTTCTAGAAAGCATCCATCATCATCAATGGCTGTGTGCATGGCTTGCTTTGCTGGAACAGAAAGCAAAGAAGACTCCATTGGTGCCGAGTGAGAAAGGAAGGTGTTAAATGCATCTTCAGCTGTGATGGCTCAAATAAAACAAAAAAAAATATGTTGCTTTATCTGCTGGAGATGCACAGGGCATACAAAAGCAGGCTGCTCCTATTTGTTGCCATAGAGACTGCCTCTCCAAATGGCAGCAGCCTGCCACCAGCATATTGCTGTGATGGAGTCAAATGCTCATCAATCTGGGTGTATGTTTTGTTGTTGTTGTGTGCCTTCAAGTCATTTCCAACCTATGGTAACCCTAAGGCAAACCTATCCTGGGATTTTCTTGGCAAGATTTGTTCAGAGGAGGTTTGCCATTGCCTCTGAGGCTGAGAGCATGTGACATGCCCAAGGTCACCCAGTGGGTTTCCATGACCGAGCTGGGATTCGAACCCTGGTCTCCAGAGTTGTAGTTTAACACTCAAACCACTATGACAAACTGACTTGCATGTTTGCCCAGATGCAAACATGATGAATTAGCAGAATGGAGCAAAAAAAATGAATCCACATTTTTTTTTGTGGCTGTATCTACACTGCAGAATTAGTGCAGTTTGACGCTGTTTTATCTTCCGTGGCTCAAAACTATGGAATACTGGGATTTGTAGTTTTGTGAGATGTTTAGTCTTCTCTCTCAGAGAGCTCTGGTGCCTACAGACAGACTGTAGGATTCCATAGGACGTAACCATGACAGTTAAAGTGGTGTCAAACAGCATTAATTCTGCAGTGTAGATACAGACTGTGATGTGAACAGTAGCTAAGGCAGAGATTCCCAAAGTTAGCTTTGGATTTGGACCAAATTTAGATTTGGACTTCCTGCACCCGTAGGGGGTTGGATTAGGAAAATAGCCTGGATACCTTCAAACTCTACAATTCTATGTTTTTATGATGCTATTAGCTACGTCTAGCAAAAGAACAGAAGCATGCATGATGGAAATGAATACACACACATGTATGCTTCAATGAACTCACACTGTTCCTCTTCCAAGTGATGTGACTGGAAAGTGTGTGTGAAATTTTTGCCCTGGTTTGGGCTGTAGATTCAATGAAAAAGGGTCCATTCCCCATCTCCTGCCCACTCTTTCCATTTGTTTAAATATAGATATATATATATGATGCTGTTGGAGACACACTGCTTTCTGTTTTTCTTTCACTGGATTCAAATCTGGAACTGTTGCAAACTGCTTTGGACTAGACAGATCAACGCTGGATCCAAATTGGGCTGACTCGACCCACTTCGTATCCAATCCAAATTTGCATGAGTTTCATTCAGTTTTGAATTCAGGATTGGTCTGAAGCAGCCACTCAGCTCTAGCAAAGCACACCTTTGTACTATTCTATCAGTGTATTATCCTCTGTGCACACACTGGATTTGCTCTAATTGCTGAAACTCATTATTTTGAGGGTTGGAAGATGCAATGACATGAACTGGTCCAGTTTTATGACAAGCTGGAAAATATTGCCCTGGACTATGTGTTCTTTGTCTGAGTCTGTTCCGCTTGGACCTGATCCAGTGGCTAGATGGGTGAGAGTAGCCAGTTCCATGACATGGGGAGAAAGTCCCACCCAAATGGACTAACAAGTACACATGTCTTCCTTTGCAGAGTTAATCCTTCCTGGCAGCTTCTTGAATCCTTTCTGAAGGCTGTTAGCTATCCTCTGCCAAAATTTCTGTCTCTGGAGAAAGCTTTCCGCTAAACTGCTCTTATCTACACTCATGAATAATTACTATTTCTTTTTTAAATCAAATATTTTGGCTTCCTCCTTCAGGCCACCATCAATGTTAGAATGTTGAGCAACACCTCTTATCTGGTGATAGCTTGTTTTGGAATCACCTTGGTCTTTCTGAGCCTTTGCAGACAAATCTGGGGTCAAATAACTAGACGCCCTTCCCCAAAGTAATGATGGAAACGATATTTGGAAACACTTGAATCCCAGATGAAAAAGAGGTCTCTGAGTATCAAAAAACTCTGATGAGGAGATCATAGGCAGTTCAGGACTTGTTCGGTGCAAAAAGTCTATGTGTTTTTTTGATGCAGAAAATGGTGGCTGAGATCCTGCATTAAACACGTAGCTATAACATTGTATGCACACTTTGACTCTCTGTTCACCCCCTGAAATCCACCTTACAATCCAGTAAACTACCTTGAGTGATGGAGACTTTTCTGGTGCAAGATTACATGACCAGCCTCATCCTGCCAGTAAGCGAGAAGATAGAGATGGGATTCGGAGGAGGGCCGCTCTTGTAGACACCAGTTTCTAGGCAGATTTGTATAGGAAAAGGGTCTCCTCTAACTAACAGCCTTCTTCCCTCTTAGTTTTGATGGTCTTTACAAAGAATTAGTTGCCATGAGAGCCAGTTTGAGGACAAAGATGAGATCAAATCAAAACAAAATCAGCCTGTTCTTCCCTCTTGGTCCAACTAAAGTTCTTTGTCTGGGATGCGAAGCTGGTCTCCCACAGATTAATTCTTCCAGATGGATGGTAGCTCTAATGGTTGGAAAAAAGTCTATTTTACTTTCTCTTGCGTTCAGATTTGTTTAAAAACGTCATGATCGTTCCATCCAAAATATGGGGAAATGTTTTAAAAGAAAAAAAGAATTTTTTAAAAAAACCCAAAAAACCCAAAATGAAATTCTTACCTATCTGTACTATCCAAATTGAAGAAGTATAGCTCTTCTCAGTATGGAGAATAGCTCCATGTATGGAGTATGGGGGGGATCCTATTTCTGCCTTACTTAGAAGATGAGAAGCTTCTCGTGTAAAGAAAAAAGAGTCCCATCTCCCTGCACGAAATCTGGAGACCAAAGGACAATTTCATGGAGGGGGGCATTATGTTTATTAGTGGGGAAATATTCTCATTTTGCTACTGGTCTGCAACTGTACCCCTGCTTCTGTCTTGTATTAAACACTCATTTTCCTGAGGAAGGCCTCTGTGATTTGAATTTTTATGAACAGAGCTCAGGCTAGGAGAGCAGGTGGCCTCAATGGTGAACTACGTCTCTGTTCTTCCCAAGGGGCTTCAGATCATAATTCTTGAATGAAGAACTACTCACCAGACATCTGGACTATCCAGGCTTTATCTCTGGGGGTTGATCTTCCTTGAGTATTTTCTCCAAAGATGTTGGATGAACGAGAGAAAGACCTGCTCATCTTCTCCATCACCACTTTGTTCAAACCCCAGAGAGAGGTTTAATTGATATTCCACATTCTGACCTATTTTTAAATGTTCCCTAGAAAGTTATTAGAAACAGTACATTGTATCACAAGAAAATTTGCACCTTGAAAGGACATATGTTGTTTCTGAAGGGTTCTGCTATAAGATTAACTTGAACAATGTTCGTATAATTATGGAAGGATAAATTATGTTGTTGTTGTTGTTGTTGTTAGTATATTTATTCCCCCTCTTCTTCCTCCTCCTCCTTGTATTTATATCTCAACTTCTTCCCAGTTTGACACTCAAGTCAGCTTCCAAAAATTAAAAGAAGCATAACAGACAGTGTATAAATACAATAAATAAATATGATTCTGCTCTATAAGTAATATAGGGAGAACCAGCATGGTATAGCAATTTGAGCATTGGACTATAACTCTGGAAACCAGGATTTGAATCCTTGCTCAGCCCTGGAAACCCACTTAGGCAAATCACATTCTCTCAGCCTCGGAGAAAGGCAATGACCAAAAAAGCCACAAACAACTCTTTTCAAGAAAACCCCGAGATAAGGTCACTTTTGGGTTGCCATGAGTTGAAAATGACTTGAAGGCACACAACAACAACTTCTCTTGTTTGACTTTGTTGAAGATGTTAATTAGAAGGCTAAAGAGAAATCTTGATTAGCATTCTGTTATTGACATATGCATGTGTGAATCGCATTGTGCTTGTGGGACGAATTATTCACCATAGTGCAATGGATGTAGTTTGCTTACAACAGTGGAAGATGCAGAGTTGTGCATAGAGCAACACTGTGCATTACAGCTGCACATTGCACATTTATTTTGCATGTTGTTCATTGCACAACAGCACTCAGTTGCTATTCTGCATGAGGATTGTGTAGTGCTGGTGTGGCATATCTCAACCTGTGGCTACTTACACAACACTGAGAGGATGTTGGACTGCAGCCCTTTTTTGTCAACAGTTTCAGGAAATCTTGAGATGCCTCTGGCTCATGAGGCTGGAGGAAGGTTATCTGCAATCTTTCCATTTTATTTTCATTGCTCTCCTATTTAAACATGGACCAGTGCTGAGTAAAGATCTTGCTGAAAACTGATAAGATATGGCCAAGCATCTGACATAAGAGTTCAAATAAATGTACCAAAGAGCAAACTAGACACGAGGTTAAACATGAAAAAATCACAACTCTATGTGTCTTTTATTTTTAAATCGCTGATGCTATTAGGCAAGATTTTGGGTCACAGGTCCAGGATCTCAGGGTCCATCTACACTATAGAAATAATGCAGTTTAACACCACTGTAAGTGCTGTTGCTCCATCCTATGGAATCCTGGAATTTGCAGCTTTCCAAAGTCTTTCGCCTTCTCTGCCAAAGAGGGCTGGTACCTCATAAAACTGTAGATCCCAGGGTTCTGTAGGATGGACTTTCCAAAACCAAAATTACTTTGGCAATTACTTCCTCCTGAAATGTAGCTACTATGGGGCAACTCCAAATCATATGCATTAAGGAAGTTAGCAGTATTAGATCTCCAGAGATTTGTTGCTTTGGATATTGGCCCCATGTGTAAGGTCATTGTCCACTTCACTGGTGCTGCAAAGTTGATAAGGAATGACATCTTGGCCCCATTCAAACTGGAGTGCATTCTGGCTTCCATGAGGTTTCTGTTTTACCAATAAAGAAATCAACAACTCATGGTTTCTTAACAGCATCTTACAAGGAAAGGCCAAGGACTGGAGGAGGCAGAGAAAAATGGAGCTGAACAACTCACATAGCATCATGTTCGTCATCAAGAAATAAGAGCTCGTTTTATGACATTGGTCTAATGAAGAAGGATTTAGCAATACAAAATAAACTGGTTGGACTTCAGAACAGATGACTACATAAAATGGAAAGGTTTTGGAAAGGTTCTGATTTGCATTATCCCAGGATTCCATAGAGTGGAACCATGGCAGAGCAAATTCAATCTTAGCAATATAATTGTGGGAGCCAGCATGATGTAGTGGTTTGAGCTCTGAACCTCTGGAGACCAGGGTTCGAATCCCAGCTCAGCCATGAAAACCCCTGGGTGACCTTAGGCAAGTCACACTCTCTCAGCCTCAGAGGATGACAATGACACCCCCCCCCTGAAGAAACATACTAAGAAACCCCCATGATAGAGTCACCTTATGGTTACCATAAGTCGGAAAGGACTTGAAGGCAGACAACAACAACATAATTGTGGAGCGTGCAATGCCCCCATGCTTGCTTTTGAAAAACATGATTTTTATTCAGTGAGGTGGTGAAGAGGAGGGAATAATTCAGAAGGAGAATTTCTAGAAAATGACAGTCAGAACCACAACAAAATAGCCACATGAAGCTGGAGGGCCGTAATCCCCCCATACACATACATACACACACTTACACATCCATTTAAGCTTTCCATTTCAAGCCATTTTCTCAGTCATAAATCCCCACCAGCATCACCATGCAGCAATTAGCATGCGCCTGGGCACCAATGGGAGTATGCTCAAAGGTTGGGGAAACCTCGGCGCAGACTGCTTGACAGCTTCCAGCGCTGCTGTTGATTCCCGGGTACCTGTTCCAAGATTTCCCATCTGTTCCATCAAAAGGGACTGAATTGGCTTCGTGGCTCGGGGCTAGGCAGACGCTGCCAATGCGCTGAGTATCTGATTGCAGTTAAGTGAGCTCTTCCATCCTGGGGCAAAGACTGAGTAGTGTTACTAATGCAAGACCAAAGTGCTCTATGTGAGTTGTCTAGGAAGGAGGCAATGACCCCAGAATTGTTTAGGAGAGGTTCAACACTGGCAGGCAATATGTAGAGAGATCTTGTCACACCTTTGAGACTAACTGAAAGAAAGAAGTTGGCAGCATGAGCTTTCCTAGACTTCAGTCTACTTCCTCAGATGCATTTGGACAGCAAGCAGGTTATTATTAATTCTGTCTGTTTCCAGGTACTTGGAAGGGATGGGCAAATTATTTCTGTCATCCATTATCACTAAAAAAACCCTTGGCTATGAAGACTCTAACAGTGTGTAATAGAAGTGGTCTCAGTGCCTGAGATCTTGTATTGGCAGATATGTGCTCCCTGACTTAGTATGGCTGAGGACGCTGCAGGGAAAGGGGTGATTTGGTGGCCTCCATGAACTGAGGCCAGAATGCATGGTGCTTGGCACTTGGTATCAAGCTAGATTGGCACCAAGCTAAAGGAAGTGGAGGCTGAGGGTTTCGAAGTGGATTGTGGGAGAGCCAACTTGGTGTATTGGTTTGAGCCTTGGATTATGACGTTGGAGAACAGGGTTTGAATCCTTGCTTAGCCATATTAAACCCACAGATTGACATTTTAAAAGCAGCTGAAAAGTGGGTTGTCTGAGGATTAATCAGGAGTGTCCCTGCCAATTCAGTACAGTTGGAAGGTATGCATTAGGTATGCAGACAGCCCTCCATATTTGCAGCTTAGACTTTTGCAGATTTGATTATTTGCAGTTTTGGTTAAGATATTCTATCTAGGAATCTCTAGGTCCTCCAAAGCAGCTCTGCCAGAAGTTGCCCATAGAATTGTTCTGGAAAACCTAGAAGTTCCTAGAGAAAACACTTTTCTAGGCATTTGTAGGACCTCCAGCAGGATTCTGTGATCAACTTCTGCCAGATGTTGCCCATAGAGTTGCACTGGAGGACCTGGAGATTCCTAGAGATGTATTATCTTAGGTAAAAAGAATAGAGTTTTTGTTATTTGCAGTTTTTCCACATTCACGGGGTCCTGCTCCCCTAATCCCAGTGAATGTGGTGGGACCACTGTACTTCTCATAATTCCTGAGAATGTCTCTGACGTCTAATTTTGCATAACCATTTAAGGCTTCCCTCACCCCCAATATTGTCCTCCTCCTTCCATGGTCCATAGGAGAATGGATAGAAGGCAAACCTGTAGGATTTTCCTTCTTTCACAGTGTGCAAAGTTTTCCCAAATGCTGTCTGAGGCAGGCATTGTAGAAAGTGGGGAAGTTCTGAATACTGCAAATGAAAAGGTATGTGGTGTACAATGGTATTTAGACTATTTATGACTCCAGCAAGACTGGAGCTCTGGGATCTGTTAAATTTGTTCTAGTCATTTGTGCAGCTTAGAAAATAAACAGCCCTTAAAGCTTTAAACTGTGCTGTCTGCTGTCTTTTGCTGGGGAAGTCTCCTGGCAACTTTTTGTTATCTCATAAAACTGCAGCTCTTGCAGCCCAAAACACTCTTCTGGGGTTGACCTCTCCAGTTTTGCAGTGACAGAGGGTTTTGCAACAGTTGTTTTGTGATAGATTGCACATTTATTTATTTATTAAACTATTTATTGTTGTTGTTTCTATACCCCAGCCTACATCAAGAGATCTCAGGGTTGGCTACAATAGCATCAAAACAGGCTGAACACTTAAGCACTATATTAAACATATCCAGGGGTAGCTCTGTTGGGCATAGAGCACAGTACAATAACATCCAAAATCCACAAAACAGGGCCAACCCAAATGCACAAAAAGAAGAAGCCAGTGGAGCTTTGAAAACTTGTTACAAAAAAAAGAAAGAAAAGCAATTATATAATATATAAGTTTTTCTTGCTATCAGACATTTGAAGACAAGAGTCTACTCTAAAAGAGTCTTCCTGGCTGGACTAACCAGTTATCAATGTCTGCAATGCAGAGAAACATCAGACACTTTGAAAAGTTCGAAAACCAAGCTTTCCAGAAAAGTGTTGGGCTCATGATGGTCAACATTTTGTAGCTCTTTTTATGGACTACCGTTGCCTTGACAAATGGCCTGGAAGAAGAATTAATTGTAAAGATGCCAGGACAGCTGGAAGCTATTATGCTCATTCATATCTCTTGGACAACTCCAATGTGGCCTTTAAAATATGAATGTGCACACTCCTTTTTCCTCCCAGTCTCCATAGCTGAACTTATTGAACCCTATCATGGGGAAAATCTTCTTCCGGACGCAGATATTAGAGCCAAAGACCCACAGTTACTCTTCAATCTAATCTGTTGTACTGTTTTCTGTAAAAGATGCTTCATTCCACCCAAATCTGGGTTGCAAAACTCTGTTTGTACAACAATAAGTTAGTGATGGAAAGAATATCCATAAACAGCTGAAGCTGAATTCTGAATTTTCAGAAATACCTGGAAAGGAGGATTTCTTGAGTGTGGGGAATTCTGAAGAAGTTGATAATGATAATATTCAGTTTCGGACTTGCTCTGAATGAAAAATGTTCATGAGTTGTTCTTGTTTTTATATGTTCTGCACAGAAATGTTACTTTCTGTGCAGAAAACAGGTTCTCAGTGCAGAAGACATTATTTTTCTGTGCAGAAAATCATATTTCTACACAGAAAGTATAGTTTTCTCCACAAGAAATTCCACATGCAGATTTTTTTTTCACAGAATAAATCCTAAATTGCAAATAGTTGTCTAAAACTGCCATTTATTAGGACTTTCTCACAGCAGGGAGAAAAATAGTTAAATGATTTACTATGAGAACAACATTTATACATAGACTTACATCCCTGCTGTGAACTGAATATTGACATTAAACAGTATTGAACTCACAAATACAAAAAGCTCTGAATCCTTATAACAGATAGCGATGCAGAGAAAAATCCAGGTTCTAAGAGATGGCTCTCTGAAAAATTCTGCATCAATATCCAGAATCCTGTTGGTGTTTTACACACTAGGTTTAAGTGTAGTACTAGGACTCTGGGAGACCAAGATTTGAATCCCTGCTCAATCATAGATGCCTCACTGGGTAACCTTGAGCAAGTCACACTCTCTCAGCCTCAGAGAAAGACAAGGGTGAACCCCCTCTGATCAAATCTTGCCAGGAAAACCCCATGATACGGTAGCCTTAGGGTCACCATAAGTTGGGAATGACTTAAAGACGCACAATAATAATGACAACGGAAACAACAATATTCTCTTATGCATATGGTTGTACTTCTTTGGCCATTGTGTAATGTCCATATTTGTTTCACAGTTGTGTAAGTGGAATTCTAAAAGTGGAATTCATTCATTCATTCATTTTATATTGTTGAAATTATATCCTGCCAAATTATTCAATGAACCTCACCACTGTGAGCCAGCCTGGGGTAGTGGTTTGAGTATTGGACTATGACTCTAGAGACCAAGGTTTGAATCCTGGCTTGGTCATGAAACCCACTGGGTGGCCTTGGGCAAGTCACATGCTCTCAGCCTCAGGGAAAAGCAATGGCAAACCTCCCCTGAACAACTCTTGCCAAGAAAGCCCCATGAAAGGATTTCCTTTGGGTTGCCATAAATCAGAAATGACTTGAAGGCACACAATAATAATAACAACAACAACCTAGGCTACCAACAAGATTGAAGTCTTGGTGAGTTTAAATATATACCATGCAACAAGGATGATGTAGGATCTTACCTCTCTTTCTCTCTCTTTTTCTCCCTTTCCTTCAAGCCCATTCAAACCACCATAAAATAATCAGGTTTATCTCCACAGATGGTGCTGAAGTTTTTATGCCCATTTGAGAACAAAGATGTGCCCGCATTCCTGTGTATTCTATAGAAAGGTTCTCTCTTGGCAAGGAGATGAGAGAATGCATTGCTTTTTATGAGCTCCATTGTGGGTGATAAAGTTTTATAGAACTGTTCATCAATAGTCCTAGGGAGGTGAAGGAAAGGTGGCAACCTTATTTATTACCTCTGAATGAGCCTATTTCTTTTCCTTTTAATGAACAACAGCAAAGTGGATTACAGTCTGGTTTAAGGGAGAGTTATGAAGGCACCAAAACAATCCCATTCTGCATGTGAATTGATTAAAACTCATGGAGAATGATTCGATTAGGGTTTATACTGGAGGAGATCTGCAATGAAATTCTAAGACTGTTTACTCAAGAAATAAAACGGTTTCTCCCAAGTAAGTATGCTTAGGATTCCAGCCATAAACTGTATGCCACAAGGTTGACAAATCCCATGGTCTTCAGCCCCTGAGATTTGGTGGATGCAGCTTTAAACACTTTCCTTTGTGGTGACACCAGTACCAAGAAGAAACAATCATGATGTCATTTTTGTGGCATTTTGTCAGGAACATAATCTTGCAAATATTTTGAGCGCCAGTTATATTCTTGGACTGTGATACTTGATGTTTGCTGTTTTAAAAAATATACAACTTATGCAACAGGAATGGAGGGAGGGTAGAATGGAGATTGTTGGCATGGTTCCTGCTGTCTTCCTTCCATGCTCATGTTTGTTTTGGGTCTTTCTGGTTCCTCATGGAAAGCCATCTTCCATGTTGACCTCTGGGACTCTCTGGCTCAGACTGCAGGGAAAAGCCAGACAAGAGTTTGCTTCACTCACACCAGGGAGCCCTGAACTGTTTTTAAGATGAGGAGGGACTTACATTCACAGGCAGGTCATTTGTTTTGTCTATTTGCAGGTACTTGCAAGGGGAGGACAAATTATTTTCCCCATCCATCACCACTGAAACATCCTTAAATATGAAGACTCTGACAAGCACAATGTGTGCTTAGATGTGCCCTCCATGAGTTTAGTGTAGCTTACTCTCAAGTAAATGGGCCTAGGGACTTTTTCATATGGGCAAAAGAGATGGGATAATAATGGGATAATAGTACAATGCTCCCATCCTTATCCCACGATTTGGTGAACATTTTCAGATGACGTGCACAACATCGCAGTAATTCTGCCATTATCTTGCCATTATCCCATGAACAAAGAGGCATTTTCCAGCCGCTTTTCATTCAAGGGATTTCCCATTAATGAAAAGCAGCTGGAAAACACTGCTTTGTGCAGGGGATAATGGCAGGATTATTGTGACATCGCATGACGTCATCTGAAAATGTTCACAAAATTGTGGGATAATGACGGGAGCATTGTGCTATTATCCTGTTATTATCCATTCTCTTTTGCCTGTATGAAAAAGTCCTAGGATAGACTACAAGCAGCTTTTATTATTCCTGATAAGGGTCTACAAGAATAGCTGTGTTAATATTTCATAGTGCTTGATCTTTTAGTCTACTTCTGGTCGATAATTTCTGAGAAGGCTCACCAACATAGGAGTGTTGATGGTCCAATTTTACCAGATCATTTTGGGGGATCAGCTTCCTCCAGCCTAATCTTGAGGGTCCCCAACCCATTGCTCCTCCATTCTTGGATCCATGATTCATATCATGCTTCATCAAGGTTTTCCTGGCAAAGGGACGCAAGTAAGATCCACACTCCCTTTGAGTGAGTCAAAGAATGTGAGCATTGATTTGTTATTGTACTGCCTTCCAAATCCAAATTTTAATAAAACAAACAAATCCCACAACTCTTGTTTGAAATGCTTGAGCCATGTGTTCATTAGATCAAGTTATAAAACATTTCCAAAGGAAAGGAAGTTGGGGAGAGAACAGTGCCAGTGATGTAGAGATTGTTTTAAAAAAATTGTACTAATTCTGCGCTGGATTTAGGTTATTGTCTGTCCCAAGAAGATTGTAGCCATCATCCTGTTAGGCAGTTAACAATGTCATAAACTAGTCTTACAAGCTCATAACTGTGATATAAGTGATAGTAATTCTAACCATGTGTATTTTATCCTCAAAGGAACTCTGTGAAGATCCTCACTTGTTTGTGAATGGAATCAGTTCTCATGACTTGCATCAGGGGATGCTGGGAAACTGTTGGTTCGTGGCAGCCTGTTCTTGCCTTGCCCTTCGGGAGAATCTCTGGCAGAAGGTACTCGACAATGAACAGCAGAATCATACTCTTAAGTCAGGCTTGTGCAACTATTGGGGTTAAGGGGTTACATTACCACCGGGGGACCTTGGAGGGCTGCACCCCACAAACACACCAGCCCTCACCCCATTGGAAAAAAAAATTCTGAAAATCTACCGGGCCTAAAATGGACTAGGGGAATGTGACAATGTGGCACAGTGGTTAAATGCTAGTACTGCAGCCACAATGTTGTGAGTTTGATCCCTGGCAAGGCTCCAAAGTCCACTCAGCCTTCCATCCTTTTGTAGGTCAGTAAATGAATACCCAGCTTGTTGGGGGCAATTGGCTTACACACCTTGTAATCTGCTTAGGGAGTGTTAGTTCACTAATAAGCTGTATAGAAATGTACTTGCTATTGCTATTACTATTGCTATTGATGACACTGCCATGGGACTCCACTAAGACTCCCCCCACCGCAAAAAGACAAAAACCATTTTTTATCCATGGGCCACACTTTACCAACGCTGCCCTCAACACCATGTATGATACTCTGGCCACAGGAGAACAACATTTCCAGACCCTTTCCAACAGCAAGTGAGTCTGCAACAACAAATTGCAACAGGGGTCTTGTTTCTGATTGCTGCAGCCTTGTTCACTGGAGAGAGGGGTCTAGAAGAATCATCCTGCTGCACCTCAATTGCCATCAGAAGAGATCTCCATTGCTCAGAGTTGTGATTGGCTCTTATAGTGCATTGGGGAAGGACATTTACAATTGTGGCAATAGTGCCATTATTGTGAATATGTAGAATTAGTCAATAAAGTCAGTTCTTCATATCTATGAGGTTTCTGTTCCATATTCCCTCCACTCCCTCAGATAGCAAAATCAATGGGACTTGAAGTCCTGTTGTTCCCAATGGCACATGACAAGAGTTCGACCATGTTGGTGTGGCTGCATGCATGTGCCACCACTGGGAACAACAGGGCAGGGCCATCTATGTATGCTCCACTCCACGGATGGCAAGCCCACAGAAGGGGAGAGCCAACTGTTTTAGTAAATACTTTCAGTTAGGAATCTGAAACTCTAGGCTATGAATTTATAACCATGATATAGGATGTCAGACCATGTTTTGTATTTCACATAAATAAACATATGGAACATTCCAGCTCAGCCATTAATCAATTACTGTTTTCTGGTTCAGATAATTTCCCTTTAATTATTTATTTATTTATTTATTTGGCAATAGGTGATTCCAAATTTTAAGGAACAGGACTGGAACCGTAAAAGTCCAGAGAAACATGCAGGAATATTTCACTTCCGGTTCTGGTGTCTTGGGGAATGGATGGATGTGGTCATTGATGACCGACTCCCAACCCTGAACAATGAGCTGATCTTCTGCCATTCTAATGACCGCAATGAATTCTGGAGTGCACTTCTGGAGAAAGCTTATGCCAAGTATGTGACTGTTTTAATTTGGCATCATTTCTGTTATTGACATAAGATAAAAATGACCCTCATACTAAATGTTCTAGTCCATTACAAAACCTAGTTGCATTGACAGAAAGGGAGATTAGTGGAAATATTCTTTCCTACTGTGACTTTGGGGCTATTTTAACCACATGCCTTAAGTCAGTCTTGGGCATAGTGAAGACTCAGGGCCACATGTGGTCCCTGAAATCCACTTTTGCAGTCCCTGAAGCTCCCCACCAGTCCACTAACCTCCCCAAGCTTAATTTTTTTAATGTCTCACTCTTTGGGGGGGGGTTGTCCTAAAATCATATAGAACCTCCCCTTCTGGGTCTTCCACTCCCTTTTCCATTCATCCCACAGTCCCACCAGACATAGAAGGGGTTTCTGGGTAACAAAAGCATCCCACCCCCACCATAGCAGAGGTGGAGGGTTTGGGGGGGTGTCAGGCAGCCTGGGAGTCACAACCTGAGTTACTGCACTAGGGTGATACAAACCCTAGTGATTCCACCTATCATCTTCCATTTGCCCTGTGTCCTCTCTAGGATAGCTGGGTGTTATGAAGCCTTGGATGGAGGCAGCACTGCAGAAGCAATTGTTGACTTCACAGGGGCTGTTACAGAATCCATTGACATGGCGGAAGGCAAATATAGCCATGACATCATTGAACAGGCCAAGCTCTTTGAAGACATGATGAAAGTGCAAAGAAGGGGAGGATTAATCAGCTGTTACATCAAGGTATGGGTGTCGATGGGGTGGCTGGAGATCTTTCAGAGAAATGAGTGCAATCAAGTCCACAAACTCCTATAAAGGTAACATCTGTGAGCCAGTGGTGCATGGTGGCTTCCATATCCCTGGAGCAATGAATTCTCTCCAGGGTTTAATTCAAACTTTAAAGATGCTGTCTGAAGTATTAAACCAGGGGTAGGCAACCTAAGCCCCCCCCCCAAGGCCTTTGG